GTTAATGAACTTAAATATTCTTATTTTAATTTACTCATTAAATATTGGGATATAGTGGTTAGTTTTAAGTAAGAGGTAAAATATTCAAATCCCGACCCCTTTTATATGTTTGGCTAAGATCTACCACTCCTTCAAATCAATACCTTCTTTAATTTTAGCCATCCAGCATATATATTGTCGAAACATATATTTATTGAACACTATGATGATTTTATAACTCCATTCCAAAAAAAATGATAATTTTATTACTAATATTAAACACTAGTTTTGTGCCCGTGCGATGCCCGGGTTGTTTATTGAATTAAAAGATAAATTTTTTAATCTATATGTCAAATTTTAAAATATACCATTGATACAAAATGAGTTTATTGATGTGCTTTTGTGACGATTTACTATCTAGTAGACATGTAATGACTAATACTAATATTGGTGGAAATGTTCGATTTAATATATTAAAAAAATAAACAAATAATAAATTAAATAAGATAAATGTTCGAAATCCGTTGGGTTGACCCGAACCCAAAACTTTGGGAAAAGTTTGAATATTTCTTGACTCGTAACCTAAAGTGACCCAATCCGAGATGACTCATGACTCAACCCTAATTGACAGGTCTATGTAGTAATAAAATTCTATTAGTTGTGAAATATATTATTTTAACCGATTAGTATATATTATAAATAGATGTTTTACACTTTAAACTAATTCCTTCGCTCCAAAAAAAAAATATTATGACATAAAAAATTAAATTTATATGATAATTTTTAAGAATTATAATCTAATAATTTTTTTAAATAAAATTATAATTCAATTTGTATATCTAAAATATTGGTCTTTTATCGAAAATAATATTCTAAACTTAAAATTTTATCCTAAAATTCTATATTTTTTATCTTATGAAATCTATTTAAATCGCTCCAACGTAGCGCGACACTTGGCGAAAAGTTGGAACGCCAAGTGTCGCAAAATCGTGACCTGGCTAAAAGTTTAGCTTTATATATTAGTTATATGTTATTTCTTGGGGTAATTTCAATTTTCCAATCCAATAAAATTTCATTTACTTATGAACAACTACATCAATCCTTCGATTCCATTCATTCTTGACTTCAATATCGAAAATAAAATCAATAAGCGGACTGTATAACTCATAGGACCATCAACTCAAAACCAATAAGAGATAAAGTCACTTTTGTTAAATATGGAAGAGAAAATATAGAGAGATAGGAAAATTTGTTACGTTGTTTCACTTATTCCATCTAGTACGGGATATATATACATGTATATTATTTAGGGTTCCATCAACGGATAAGATCAAATACCCAACTCTAGAGTATTCTAGATAGTACATGGGATAATAGTCATCCACATTTAGATCTTTCGTGACACTCCCCCTTGGATGACTATATATTAAATAAAACAATAACTAACATTTACTAGAAAATTCCGTACAAAATAATACACTATAATGCACATAAGATGTTGCCTCGTTAAAAACCTTAACAGGAAAACCCAATGGGAAAAAACCATGGTTAAGGAAAAAAGAGTGCAGCGCACATTAACTCCCTCTCATGACTACATCATTTGAGATCTTTAAGACGACGCAATCCAATGCCATAAGCTAACTTTTTGAATGTGGCTGTTGGGAGCGCCTTAGTAAACAAATATTCCAAGTTTTCACTTGAGTGAATCTTAACGACTTTTACATCGCCATTTTTCTGGAGATCATGAGTGTAGAAGAATTTTGTAAAATTTGCTTCATTCTATCACCTTTGATATACCCTTCCTAAAGCTGGGCAATGCATGCTGCATTATCCTCATATAAAATTGTTGGAACTTCTTTCTTGGAGTTTATGCCACAATCTGTCTAAATATGTTGAATTACAGACCTTAACCATACACATTCACGACTAGTCTCATGGATTGCCAAAAAATTTTCATGGTTAGAAGAAGTAGCTGCAATTGTTTGTTTCATAGAACGCCAAGAAATAGAAGTACCTCTACACATAAACACATATCCAATTTGTGATCTAGCATTACGAGGATCAGACATGTACCCTACATCTGCAAAACCAATCAAACCTTCTATGGATAGATTAGAGAAAAACAAACATATACCTTTCATACCTTGAAGGTAAAGAAGTACATGCTTAACCCCATTCCAATGCCTTCGGGTAGAGCATGACCTAAATCTTGCTAACAAATTTACTAAAAATGATATGTCGGGTTGTGTATGACTAGCAAGAAAGATACATTAATGCCCCTATTGCACTTAAATATGGTACTTCAGGACCAATAATTTCTTCGTCATTCTCGGGATGACGAAAGGGATCTTTTTTCTAAATCAAGTGCTTTAACATCAAGTACTCACCCAACTTTTAACAGTTACTCACTTAGACAATTATACCACATGCGCCCTGATTGTTTCAATCCATATAGAGATCTATTCAATTTTATTGAGTATTGTTCTCGAGAACCTGAATTTGCTGCTTCTGGCAGTTTAAATCCTTCTAAGAGTTTCATATAATGTCATTATCCAGTGGGCCATATATGTAAGCTCTGACTACATCCATCAAGCGTAAATCAAGTCCTTCTCTTATTGCCAGACTGATTAAAAATCTAAAAGTAGTTGCATATCCATCACATGAGAGTATGTCTCCTCATAATCAATACCGGGTCTTTGTGAGAATCCTTGTGTAACTAATCGAGCCTTATATCTTACAATGTCATCATTTTCATTTCTTTTTCATACAAAGACCCATTTATATCCCACTGGTATTATACCTTCAGGTGTACGGACTACAGGTCTGAATACTCCTTGTTGAGAGTAAAAATACCCCATATACGTGGACCAGTCCCGAAGTGACACGTGGCCCAGTTATAGGGTGACACGTGTCACTGTGAGAAGATGCCACGCGACCAGCTTAAGCGCTCTCAAAGGTTCAGGCCAATCATGTAGCGACACGTGGCCTAGTTAAAGGGTAACACGTGTCGTTATAGGAAGATGTCACGTGTTTAGGGCATGTATTCCCCCTAAATCAGCATGCAAAAGAGGCCTAATAACGTCAGGGCCCAAATCCCGAGAGATATCATTGAAAGCCGCAAAGCGGCGCCCCCAAAATGATACGTGGCATTCACTGATTGCGCAGCCAATCACGTCACGCAATTCTAGGGTACAAACCCTAGAATGGACGAGTCCCACCCCTATAAATACCCCAATCATTTATGATGGGAGGGGTGGATTAAGACATTACAACAAAAAGAGCATTAATAGCTCCAATTTCTCTCTACTTTCTCTCTCTAGCCTTTTCCGCTTCCGATCACTAACTTCATGGTCGGAGGCGAATATTCCGACAACCGAAATATTCGTTGTTTTGCAGGTCGGACCGTCTCGTTGCCAAGAGAGCGTGACCAGTATCCGAGGAAATCTAAAAAACACCAAAAACATTTGGCGCCATATGTGGGGATACTCATACTCGTACGTTATGACGATGGATGGTTAGTGATATACGTGTTTTATACAATGGTTTTCCCCGGTTTTACTTAGTAATTTTATATGGTTTTGAGCTCTACGGAGCCATTTCTTGCTAACAATCTCTTCTTTAGTGTATTCGATTGTTTTAGTAAGCTTTTCAGGAATATGAAGCGTTTCTAGGCAATTGGACGTGTTTTTAGTAGATTCGGAAGAGTTGATAGCCAAGAACTGCAATTTATGTGGAGTGCCCGACCGGGCATGGCTTGCCCGGGCAGACCGGGCAATGAAGAGTTCACAGGAAGAAGCCCAATTCTGAACGGTGCAACGCGCGCCCGATCGGGCAGGCTTCGCCCGGTCAGACCGGGCGATGAAGAAGTCAAGTTATGAAGATGCAATTCTGGAAACGTGTTACGCGCGCCCGACCGGGCGAGGTTCGCCCGGTCTGACCGGGCAAAGAAGGAAAACTGTCGTATTTTACGCAGCCTTCCTCCGCCCGATCGGGCGAGGTTTGCCCGGTCTGACCGGGCGATGTTCAAGATTGCGCGATTTCAGCTATTTCCGAATTTCTATCTTTTGAGGGTATAAATACCCTTTTGTAATTAACTTTTAAAGAGAGTTTTTCATTAGTTTTTCTCCTTAAGCCCTAGAAAACTCTCAAGAACCCTAGTTTTATTTCCTTTAAGCAATTTCAATCTTTTAATCCCAGATTAATCAATTGTTCATCAACAATTTGAGTTCTTTCAATTGGAGTAATTGGTATTTATCTTACTTCACTCTTTTCTGATATTCACTGTTCTCTAAATATGTTTTCTTTACTGTTTCTTGTTTTTGAACTTGATTTTGATTTTATTATGATGTGTGAGTAGTTTCCTTAATCCGGGATCTTGCTAAGCTCGATTATGATTGATGTATAAAGTAGATCTTTAAATTCCCCAATAATAATCCCAATTGACATGCTTAATTGATTGTGTTTATGCCAATACTAGATTAGGAATAATTAGTATTGTTATCATCCCTTTGTTCTTATTGCAACGGAAGTTGGGTATTAACGGGATTAGGTTATTCCAATTAAGGGTTTGAAGATCATCACGGAAGTAGATGATTGAATAATTAGGAATCTAGGCATGGTGTTTAATGTCCCTTATTCGCTTGATTCCACGGAAGTAGGCTTGATAGTTAATTTGGGAAGCCATTGATAACTTGGAAGAGACCTTTGGTATTATTATTAGGGATTGCTTTTCTTCTTGTCAATTGATTTATATATTGGGGGTAGATTTATTAGTTTATCAATCATAATCGTGGTAATGCTTGATCTTGGATGCTTTAGTTTATTGATTAATATTTCCTCTAGTTAATTGTGTTATTTAATATATTAGTTGATTATTATCATCCATTATTGATTGGTGACGTGCTTAGTGATTAATTGAGTCTGATTAATTGAATGAACCATAGTCTCTTGGGATTCGATCCTTACTTGCCCTACTACACAGTTAGAAGGAATAGTTAGGTTATTTTTGTTAGGTACGCGATAAGCCTATCAAATTTTGGCGCCGTTGCCGGGGACTAACGGTTTTCATCTAATTATTTGTGATTCGTTTTTGCTAAGATTTTGGTTTGTTGCTTTGGCTATTATTAACTTCTTTTTCTCTTATGAGTTGATGATATACATGCCTTGGAGATGGATGATTTATTGTCACGTCTTGCATCTGGCCATTGTTCTTGTTATTATCTTTATCATGAAAACCCTGATTGCCCTTATAGTGAGTATTTTGTTCGAGCTCCGGATGATTTTAGAATCTTTCCATTCATATATGATTATTCTAAAAAACGGTTTGTTCTAAATGAAATTTATTGGAGGATTCATGATGAATATTATCATAATTTGTATAATACGTCGGAGGAAGAATCATTTGTTGAAAAACCGATGGTTAAAGAGTCATTGGTTATAGAATCAGTGGTTGAGGTATCATTGGTTCCAATAGAAGAAGAATCATTAGTTGTAGAACCATTGGTTGAAAAGTCATTGGTTGTAGAACCAATGGTTGAAAATTCTTTTTCTTTTGCTAATGAACTTATTCGTGAGCGTAAAATAATAGAGACGTTATTGGGTGATGATAAAGAACAAGACTACCTCCATGTTCGTTCTATTAATTCTAAATTTTTAGCGGAGGAAGCAGAAGGTTGTGGTGTATCTTCATCTTTTTCTTTTGATTTTTCTTTTTACCTTGAGTTATCTTTGTGTGCTCCTAATCTTTTCTATGTAAGGATTACTGTGCTTGCAATTGAGCCCTATATAGTGCTTAATGAAATGTTTGCAGGAGCGTATGATAAGTTACTCAAGGCGTTAAATTCTTCTGATGGAAGGAGAATGGTCAAGCTTAAGACCTTGATAAACTAGCGCTTTGCGGGAGGCAACCCGTATTTCATTATTTTTATTTTAGTCTTTTCTAATTTTTGTGTGTTTTCATTTTTCTTTGATTCTTAGAGAGGTAAGGAGAGTACATCTTATGCTTGTGGGAGTTCTCTTGGTGCAGATTTTGATCTAAAAGGCTGATTTAAAAGGAGAAGAATTCGCTGGACTGCGTTCGAGTTCGATCAGGAAGAGCTCGCCCGATCGGGCGCGCGTATGGATCAGCAAAACTGCTCAATTTCGACAGGCCATAACTTTCTGGTTAATTATCGGATTTTTTTTATGTGACCTATCGTTGGAAAGATCTTTAAGTATACTTTCCAATGCAATTAGAATCACTGCATTATATTTTATACATCAAAAGTTATGATCAAAACAGTGCACATGACTCAATTTTATTCTTTTTCCCACTAACACTTTGTTTCGTTTTTGCTCAATTTTGTTCCAAAGAGATGCATTGCAATCCTCGAGGCTTTGGTGACATTATTTTGGGTGATGATGAAGATGAGGTTTGACTACAAGTTTCCCTTTAAGACAATGAGGACATTGTCTGATTTAGCTTGGGGGGAAGTTCTTGTGTACACAAGGTACATCTTTCACTCTCTCTTTCTACTTTAGTGTGTTTTCACTAGCAGTAAGGTTTAATGCTTTCTTCTGGAAAAAGAAATGAAAAATAAAAGAATCATGATAATGAACGGCCAACGGCCATTGAACTACTTCCCTGTGCCCCTATCCTTTATGCCAAAAGGTTTTGATTTATTTTCGATTGAAAGACTTGCATAGTGGACTAAAAGATCATGATTTGACCTTGAATTTGTTGATCCCTAGTAGGAGTCAAGGTTATTTAACTATGTATGATTCAGGAGCTTGACTGTGTTAACCGTGAGGCTTGAGCCTTATATATTCATTCTTGTGTGTGTTTAGTTCCTGGTGTAGCATTGATCTTAGTTTTGACTTTAGACTCTTAGTAGTGTGTCGTAATGCATTGCACGTGCACATTGAAATGACGAAGGCCATGTTCATTAGGTAGCCTCCAGACAAAATTAGAACATCAGTTCCCTTCTTGCTTACCCATGTTGTAGCTTGACTATATTTTTCATTAACTCCACAAAAATTACCCCTTGGCCCCAATTTGATTACTTTTCCCAAGTCTAGCTTGGGGAGCTATTTTATGCGGTATTTTTGCGTGATTCTGTTTCAAGTTGCAATTGATGCGAAAATATTGAAAAGAAAAGGAAGAAGAAGAGAAAAAGTGAGAAAAGGAGGTTTGATTGAATTACTTGAAAAAAAAAAGTAACATTTCTTGAAAAAGAAAGAGAGAAATAAAGAAAAGAAAGAAAAATATTTGGAAAAAGTTTCAAATGAAAAATTGTTGGATTGAAATAAAAAAAATAAAAAGATAAAAAAAAAAATAAAGAAATGAAGCAAACAAGTAAAAGAAGGTTGAAGAGTTGAGAATGTAGGTGGATGAGATGATGGTTGTGTTTTCATTGTAATTGGGTTTGTGTTTCATTGATCGAAGTTGATGAATCGAGGTGTGACTCATCGCATTTGATAGTTCCCCCCGGTTAGACTATTATAGCTCTCATTCCCCAAATTATTGTCCTACCCATTCTTATTCCCGACCTACGTTACAAGCTTCACAAAGTCCTTCCGATCTTCGTGCATAGCATTGCGTTCATGTGAATTGAGTCTTTTGTCAAAATGCTGGAGTATATGTTGCATTTCAAGTCGACATTGACTAGGTTGAGCGTTATTATAACCCTCTAAACACGCGAGTGTTGTGAGATGGGGGATTGCATTGTTGGTGGGGATGGTGAGAGATCGAGCTCATTTTTAGCTCGCCACATAAAAAGTGTGTTGAGTGACCACCGATGTGAGATACTCTAGTCTTCGATTCTTGAATTATAAATGGTTGGTCTCATTTGACGATTAATTAGGTGGATCGACGGTTTGAGTAATTTGATTGGTTGATTAGGATGCATGCTCGTTTGATTTCGATTTTGAATCCTTGTTTGATTTTGCATTATGGGGTGAAGCATGTTGTTTGGTTGTTGATTGTTGTTGATTATTGTTAATTGTCTTGCTTGAGGACAAGCAAGAGTTTAGCTTGAGGACAAACTTGGTACGTATAATTCCATTGATACTGGATGATAAGTCCTATTTTGCACATGTTTTAGGTGGGTATCTAAGCTCATTTTATTACAAAATTAGAGATCTTTGGTGCATATTTGCATTATTTGTTTAAGTTGTGCTCTACTACTCTTCGTTTGTGTGTTTTGATGAATTTCAGGTGATTTATATGCAAATGGAGTATGGTTGGCTAATATTGAGTATAATAATCATGGAGTATGAAAACATATTGCTTAAGAATATTAAATCATGTGTTCGAGACGAACTTGAGTGAAAATGAAGCAAAACGTTGATGAAATACTTGACAAATATGACACCTGTTCACTATTATGCTCATAACTTTTGATATACAAATGATAATGGAGTGATTCAAATTGCATTGGAAAGTAGACTTGAAGACCTTTCCAACGATATATTACACGCCTCAAACAGAGCTCCGGATATGAAGTTATGACTGATTTAAGATGAGTTAAATACAAACTATTTGCTGCAGCCTCTACGTGCCCGATCGGGCATGGTCCGCCCGGTTGGACCGGGCACATAGGAGTTAGATGATTTTTGGTATTTTCGAAGGTAGAAAGAAATTTATGAAGACCGCCCCACGCGCCCGATCGGGCAAGGTCCGCCCGGTTGGACCGGGCACGTGGTGGAAGAAGTGCTACGAAGGAAAGCAACTCCGTACTCTCACCGCCCGATCGGGAGGTGCTTGCCCGGTTGGACCGGGCACAGTTATGCGACACTCCGTATTATTATTTTCTTATTTTTAGGTCATTAAGGGTATAAATACCCCTTGTAATCTTCATTAGAAAGAAGTTTTAAGTTTTCCATTATTCCTCTTTCTCTCTCTAGAGTTCTAGTTTATTACTTTGAAGCAATTTTAATTCTTTCCATTAGATTTGAGCAGTGTTTTTCAACAATTTAATTCCTTTCAATTGAAGAATCCTTGGTATTCACTTCTACTTCATTCTCTTTCAATTATAATTGCTTTTCAATTATGTTTTCCATATTCATGATTGTTATTGTTTCTTTCAATATGTGTGAGTAGATTTTCTATTCCAAGATCTAGGGTAGCCCAATTATGATTGATGCATGAATTAAAACTTTAAATTCCCCAATAATAATCCCAATTGACATGCTTAATTGATTGTGTTTATGCCAATACTAGATTAGGAATAATTAGTATTGTTATCATCCCTTTGTTCTTATTGCAACGGAAGTTGGGTATTAACGGGATTAGGTTATTCCAATTAAGGGTTTGAAGATCATCACGGAAGTAGATGATTGAATAATTAGGAATCTAGGCATGGTGTTTAATGTCCCTTATTCGCTTGATTCCACGGAAGTAGGCTTGATAGTTAATTTGGGAAGCCATTGATAACTTGGAAGAGACCTTTGGTATTATTATTAGGGATTGCTTTTCTTCTTGTCAATTGATTTATATATTGGGGGTAGATTTATTAGTTTATCAATCATAATCGTGGTAATGCTTGATCTTGGATGCTTTAGTTTATTGATTAATATTTCCTCTAGTTAATTGTGTTATTTAATATATTAGTTGATTATTATCATCCATTATTGATTGGTGACGTGCTTAGTGATTAATTGAGTCTGATTAATTGAATGAACCATAGTCTCTTGGGATTCGATCCTTACTTGCCCTACTACATAGTTAGAAGGAATAGTTAGGTTATTTTTGTTAGGTACGCGATAAGCCTATCAAACTTTGGCGCCGTTGCCGGGGACTAACGGTTTCATATTGATTTTCCGTGATTCGTTTTTACTAAGCGTTGTTTGTTGCTTCGGCTATTGCCTCCTGTGTTTTTGATGTTCTTTGCCTAGTTCTTTGTTGTATGCAAACACGTCGCTCAGGGTCAGACGACTTAGTGCCTCTCGATTCAGAAATTGAAGCGACTGCAAGAAGACGAAGAAGTAGAAGAAGAGCAGGTAACAGAAATATGGAAGACCAAGCAACAAAGTCTCTTTTGGAGTACGGTATCCCTGACACAACAACCGGACTCCTTTCTAGCATTGTTAGACCACCTATCACCGCTCAGAATTTTGAATTGAAACCGCAGTTTATTCAATTCATATCCAATGATTCATTTGCTGGCACACCTCTTGATTGCCCAGTGAATCATATAGATGGTTTCTTGGAAAAGTGTGACACTATGAAGCTGAATGGTGTTACAGATGATGCTCTTAGACTTCGCCTTTTTCCATTCTCATTACGGGATAGGGCGAAGGAATGGTTAAGAGATGAGGGTTCTGGTTCCTTTGATACATGGGATAAACTAGTAAAAGCTTTTCTGGTCAAGTTCTTGGGACAAGAAAAGACTGCAAGATTAAGGAACGAGCTATCCACTTTCAGGCAATCAGATGAAGAATCCTTATATGACGCATGGAGGAGATTCAAGAGATTACAGAGACAGTGCCCTCATCATGGCATACCTGAATGGATGTTAATCCAAACCTTTTATAACGGTCTAACCCATGAATTCCGGATCTATATCGACGCCGCATCTGGAGGCTCCCTTTTAACTAAAAATCCAACCGAAGCAAAGGAGCTGGTTGAGAAGATGTCAGCCAATGACAACTATCACCCAGGCGGCCGAAATAGTGTCAAGAAAGGAGGTAAATTAGATGTTGATGCTCTAACTCTTTTAACTAGTTCTGTGCAGGCACTTTCAAGCAAGTTCGATAGATTACAAACTGGATCTTCTAATAATGTGCTAGAAACTTGTCAAATGTGTAATACTCAAGGTCACATCGCACCTAATTGCCCACGAAATTCGAATGAGGTATCAATTGAGGAAGCCAATGCCTTCTACAATTCCAACCCTAAAAGACCATACGATCCCCATTCTAATACTTATAATGAAGGTTGGAAGAATCACCCAAATTTCTCATACAAAAACACCCAGGCTCAGCAAAATCCACCTCCGCCCCCACCTCGAAACAACAATTATAATCCACCTGGTTTTCAACCAAGACCACCCCTAGTACAACAACCCATGCAACCTATGCAACCACTCCCTCAAAAATCCAATCTCGAACTAATGATGGAGAACTTCATCAACACCACAAATAATTCCATCCAACAGTTACAAGCCCAGAATAAGCTCATGGAAAATCAAATAAGCCAACTTGCTCATCAAGTCGGCCAATCTTCAAAAACACCAGGTACGTTTCCTGGCCAAACAGAGCAACCACAAAAGGGGCACATGAATGCTGTAATTTTAAGGAGTGGAAAACAGTTGGAAGACCTTCCCGTAAGGGAACCATCAACGATAGATATTGAGGGAATGAGTGAAAAACAGGGGATTTTGCAAAATTCTTCTTCGCCCGGTCAGACCGGGC